TGGAGGAGGGCAACGCCTTCATGGAGCTCTTTGAGACCTGGAAGAAGGAGTACAAGGTTGGCACCCGATGCGCTTCCTTCGCAGTTGGGGATTCATAGCGCTCGGCCCCTCTCCATCCGTCAGGTGCTGCACGAGTACTGGATGGTTCTGCGGAATCACGTGTCCGCCATTGACGAGCTGGGAATGGCCACCGAGAGGCTCCGCGTGCGTCTCCCCGATGAGCCCAAGCCAAAACTCTTGCACATCATCGAGCCGCACGAGGTACGTCTTCCTACCTTCTTCCGTGCGTGTGGATTTGTCAATTTCAACAGTATGTCATGCTGCATACACAATTTGGAGACTTTCAGTATTGCAATCTTCTCAATTAAAAAAAAAAAAAAAAAAAACATTCAGGAACATAAGTCAATTAAGCAAGTAATTACATTCCAAATAAAATGGTGATCATTTGAAAAAAGAAATAAACACATCAAAACATTTTAAAACATTGCCATTTGAATATACTGTATTTATTTTTATTTTTGTATTTTTTTTTAATTTTCTCATAAATACAATCTTCAGGAATTAAAACATCTGTCTGTATAACTAAATTGAATATAAAGTGCTTAATTTATTTTTTATAGTGTTCTAAAAATCTGACTTCATTAAAAACATTTTGCAGTGACATTAATCAGAATATTACAGTTAAATCTAACTTTAAAAAATATTACAAGACAGTTTTGAAAAATGTCAGAAAAAAAAATTCTGTCGTAATGCAGATGCAAAAAAAAAAAAAAGTTGCCATCTCTTTAAATTTGCGTCCGATTTGATCTTTGCAGGTGGAGCAGAACCGAGTGAAACTTCTCAACGACCAAGCAGTGGCCAAGTCTCAGCTGCAAAAGAAGCTGGGACAGTTTTTATACCTGACAAACCTAGAAAAGGTATCCCCCCCCCCTCCCCACCCCTTTGGTACTCCCCTTCTCCAATCCAGACGATGACGCTCGCCAATCTTCCCCATTTTAGTCCCAGGACAAGTCCACTGGTGGGCTGAACCCGGAACCGTGTCCCATTTGTGCTCGGCCACTCGGACAGGAGGTGAGCGTTTTTGTTTCCAACGCTTGTTTTTCTTCTTTTCATGGACCTCCGCTATTTGTTTTTTCTTTGATTTGTCAGTGGGCGGTGCTGACGTGCGGCCACTGCTTTTGCAACCAATGCATCGCCATCATCCTTGAGCAGTATAGCGTGGGCTCGCGGCGACGCGCCATCAACTGCGCCATCTGCAGGCAGAGCACATCTCACACCGAAATCTCTTACGTGTTCACCGCGCAGGCGTCCAGCCAAGACCAGGACATCCCGGTGAAGGTTGGTCAACAAAGGATCTTCGCCCAGTATGTGGCCACCGGCAAAATACCGTTAAACGCTTCCGTGTTCCTATTGCAAAAAAACTGTCATCGTCTCAGCCCACCGCAGTGCTAATTTCCGACAACAGTGTTGCTAACCAAAACAGCAGTAGCTACCGAGTCACTTTAAATTAATTAAAAAATAATAATAATAGACGCCTTTGGCTATTGGCTGTTTACGTCCGTAAGTCCATCGGCACTGTTGTTCAGACACGCACTGAGTTAACTACTGAGGCTGTTTTGACTTTGTTGCTAGCCAAAATAGCAACAGCTACCGAGGCGCACAATAACAGCCCCTCGGCCCAACTGCCGTCTCTCCCAGGGAAGCCACTCGACCAAAGTGGAGGCGGTGGTGAGAACCCTGAAAAAGATCCAAGTGAGCGATCCGGGCGCCAAGTGTTTGGTCTTCTCAACGGTAACCCGTCACCGCCGCAAGACTTTTGAATTGTTGTGCGTGTGACCCGACTTATCTGCGCCGCCTCTCCCTCTCCATTGCAGTGGCAGAGCGTCCTCGACATCATCGCCAAAGCGCTCTTTGACAACAACATGGAGTTCTCTCAAATCAACGGAATCCAAAAATTCCAGGTTCGGACAGTTTTTGGATCCCACCCCGCCCCCTCCCCCGCCCTTTTTTTTTTTTTTTTTTTTTAACCCGAGCATGCTGTGGACTTTCTCGACTCTGTTTTCACGGCGGCGCCAATTCCTCTGACGCGACTGCACCGTGCCCAGGAGAACCTGAGCTCGTTCAAGTACGAGAAGAAGATCAACATCCTGCTGCTTCCCTTGCACACGGGTTCCAACGGGCTGAACATCATTGAGGCCACGCACGTGCTGCTGGTGGAGCCCATCCTCAACCCCGCCCATGAGCTGCAGGCCATCGGACGCGTGCACCGGATCGGACAAACCAAGTACGACATCACATCGATCTGTTTTGACTTTGAAAAATGTCCATTGACCCCAAAAATACAATCAGTTGTCAAGAGAAATCATATGTGGCACCTCGGCAATAATATAGCAGATTAAAAAAAAAAAAATTGAGACGAGCACATCCTTATTTCAGTACAGCGTTCGGGGAGCAAGCCCTGCCACAAATAGCAAAAATCTGCACGTCATGAAAGCCTCCTCAAAAATGGTTGAGAATTTCCTATCAGTGCCACGAGACAACATTAAAACACGACATGAAAATCCTCAACTCACTTCAGCATATGTCTTTGTTGCAAAGCAATCTTTTGCTATTGGAGCACAAAAAAAAAAAAAAAAGCGACTAGGTGAGTTTTTTCGGCACTGTCAATTTGAATTAATGTCCTAGTTTTGAATAAAGGAATGAAAGATTTCTCAATGATTGAAATAATCGTTATTTGCAGCCCTCTGTCCTTTCTGTCTCCGTCCCACCAGGCCGACATTCGTGCACCGCTTCCTCATCAAGTCCACCATCGAGGAGAGGATGCAGGCCATGCTTAAAACGGCGGAAAAGAGGTGCGAGAGAGAACGTTGAATATCATCCGCTCAAAATCAAAACGATGCGCAGCCTTACCTTGACTTGGGAGCGTCCAAACTTGCGGGTTTTTTTCGTGAGTCGTAGCTTGATCGATTACAGCTGCAAGAGGAATTTTGAGAAACAACTGAGCTTGAAATAGGCCACCTCAGGCCAGTTATCTGCTCTTGAGCCAATGACCAAAAATATTGCGTGGTATCACAGTATTAAAATGACAGCTCTAAAAATGTATTTATTTATTTTGAGTATTTTTTTCCACACAATCCTATTTAATTTTTTAATGTTTATTTAATACACAGGATAATATTTGGCACATTAACTCTTTCAAAATTAAATAAAATTTATTAATTAATTCATAATATTGAGTCCCAGCCAGTTTGGTGCCTTCTGACTAATCTTTCAAGGCTCCCAAATACTCTGTTTTATGACTGCAGAAAGAGAAACTGAGTAGAAAAAAAAACCCACCTGTTTTTATCCATCTCATGGATCTCATTTTGCCACTTGCTGTCGACTGAAAATGACGTCACACAAACCCATCACGGCTCAAACCCAGAAAAGAAGTGAGCCGAACAGCGCGGTATCTGCGTTGCGGGCGTGGCGGCCATTTTTGGTCAATTACTTTTTAACGGACATTCGGCTCTCACGAACGAAACCGCCATCCAGTTCGTCCATGAAATCAAGGTTCCACCGTATGATTCCATTGACTTCTGCTTGGTCAGGGAACAAGTTCAACGCTCAAGTCACGGTAACACCGATAAACGAAATTGTTTTGCGGTCTTGCAGTCACAGCCGGGCCGCCATGAAGCACTCTGAGGCCGCCGTGCTCACCGTGGCCGACCTCGCGGACCTCTTTAGCGAAGAAGACGGCCAACGTCTACAGTGAAGACGAACCACGAGGCACTCGGCGGCATGCATGGACATGCCTCTTCACTTTGGCACTGTGCCACTTTTTCTTAAAAAAAAACATTGAAATTGATACACTTTTGAATACATGAATGTACAGTATAAGTGTTTTGATTTGGACTCAATCATTCCTTTGCTGTTTTCACAACTTCCAGGAAATAAAAGGCAGTAGGGACGATCCAGTGGCAGGCTTGTAAACTCGCGCACAGGAAGGAGGACTTTGTTTCTGCTCTTGTGTCTTCAACAAAAGAAATTAGCGCGGTGTTGCACATTCCTCCTCTTTTTTTTTTCCTGAATCTTCTTTGCAGAGTGAGTGTCCCAGTGAAGCTGGTGTTTTGTTGGGGTGGGACAGTGAAATCTCAAGATTCCTTCTCTTGGGAACCAAACTTGTAAACTCAAACTTGACTTTACAAGGTAAACTTTTTTGTAAAACAAAAAAAAAAAAAGAAAAGAGAAAAAAAAGCCATCTTGCCTGCCCCATAAAGTTGCCTTGGTTCATTTTGTATTTTCTGCCATTTTGTGATCTCCCCACAGGAGGCGTGGCTATTGGGAATTTGGGGAAAATATGTTCCATTTTCCTGAACGGCCGGTGTATTTCCGGGTCGCTCCTGGGCATCACCATTTTAAAAGCTTGCCAGTCATTTTCCACCACACGTTACTTTTTGCTTCCTATAGTGGCGCTGAGCCATTTTTGTGTGCTCATAAAGGTCATCTTTCTCCCATTTTACATTCCGCCTGTCCTATTCCAAAGTCGTTTTGTACGCTTCTTCTCATCATTTTCCTCCATTCTCACATTCTCGGCTTCTGTCTGGAAGTGAAGAGTGTGTTTTATGATGTGGTCCTACAGCACACGTGCACTCTTCAGCCAAGTTTCTTTTGCTTGCCGGCTTTCCCCCCGCAGGGGTTCCCGCTAACCCATAAAGATTTTTTTTTTGCCCCCCCCCCCCTTTTTTTTTTTTTTTTTTTAAGTCTGCTGACAAAGAGCAGTGGCGTACATGGTTACCACCGCACTTGTTGTTGTCGTAGCGTGTTTACAAAAAGAGGAGTTACCTCGGACTCCCCTGGGCTCCCCCTATTCACGCGCGGAATCTCATTGTTGGCCTCCGAAGGACATCATTCAAGCTGCTGTTTTAGGGGCGGAGGGAGGCTCACACTTCGTTAGAGCTGTCCGGCGCCGGGGTGCTACGTCTTGTGGCCTTGACAGCGGCATTCGGCAGTCGGTGGCCAAACGTTCCCAGGGGGGAGACACAAGATGGCAAGTTTGCGTTGGACCTGGTTGCTGCTGACCTTGACACTCGTCTCCGCCCAAGGTGACCTGCAGACGTACGAAGAAGGTGAGCCGTTCCTTTTTTTTTTTTTTTTTTTTGGAAAAAAAAACCTCGTTTCACACAGATTTAATGCAGTTCCGCGCGGGAAAAATGCCAAGGTGGACTGCAGACAGAAAATTCTTGGAGCATTTTGCCTTGACTAGATTATTTGTCTCACAATGGAAAAATTCCCAATTTACAACAGCAAAATTATGAAAGGGAGCAGCAAAATTATGAAAGGGATAAAGTAGAAGACAAAAAGTATACAAATAAATATAAGTATATTAAAAATGGGTGAGTGGGGGTGAACTCGCGCTTCGTTAAAGAAGCACCGTTTCTGTCAACGCCGCTTCACATCTGCAACACAACTTGAGCCATTTTTCCACATTCGAGGTCTCTTTAAAGAGGAAAAAAAAGTGACAACAGCTGAAACTCTGAAAAAAACAATTAGTCTCTTTATTTTTCAACAAAATCAAAGGGAGAAAAAACGAGTTACTTGTGGAAGATCGCCTTTCCACATTTTTTTTTTTTTTTTTTTTGGAAAAAAAAACCTCGTTTCACACAGATTTAATGCAGTTCCGCGCGGGAAAAATGCCAAGGTGGACTGCAGACAGAAAATTCTTGGAGCATTTTGCCTTGACTAGATTATTTGTCTCACAATGGAAAAATTCCCAATTTACAACAGCAAAATTATGAAAGGGAGCAGCAAAATTATGAAAGGGATAAAGTAGAAGACAAAAAGTATACAAATAAATATAAGTATATTAAAAATGGGTGAGTGGGGGTGAACTCGCGCTTCGTTAAAGAAGCACCGTTTCTGTCAACTCCGCTTCACATCTGCAACACAACTTGAGCCATTTTTCCACATTCGAGGTCTCTTTAAAGAGGAAAAAAAAGTGACAACAGCTGAAACTCTGAAAAAAACAATTAGTCTCTTTATTTTTCAACAAAATCAAAGGGAGAAAAAACGAGTTACTTGTGGAATGCTGAACTCATATTTACTTCAGCTTCGCATCTGTGTTGCACTGTTAATATTTTGAACACAACCTGTACTTTTTCCTTCTCCACCGATTTCTCCCCTGAAAACATATTTTGTCGCTCAAAATGTATATTAAAAAAAAAAGATCACCAGGCCCCAATTACAAATGAAATTATTTGCTGTCTAAACTGAATTTTAAAACAAATGTCCTATTGTCGAGAAGAGAAAACAAAATTTTTCCTTCTCCACCGATTTCTCCCCTGAAAACATTTTGTCGCTCAAAATGTATATTTAAAAAAAAAAAGATCACCAGGCCCCAATTGCAAATTAAATTATTTGCTGTCTAAACTGAATTTTAAAACAAATGCCCTATTGTCTAGAAGAGAAAACAAAAACTACTCAATGAACATGCTGAAAGGACATGGGAGACTTTGAGTTTGTATTTTTTTTTTTTAATTGGAAACCAATATTTGCCCTTTGACTGAAAATTAATATCAGCTCCAAGTGTCGGTGATCGGCTTCCTGAAGTTCTCATTTTCAGTATCGGCCACGAAAACATTATCTCGAGACAAAACCTGTTTTGTTCTTTACATTCTATTCACTTCTTACACTCATGAAACAAGACATTACAATTGTTCTTTATGTTGTTTGCACCATGAAGCAGAAAAATCCACTGCCTTTTTTTAAATTTATCTCAGGGGGCTGACAAAATGCCCACCACCACCTGAGCTGGATTTTCAATATTAATCAAAACATCGTGTTTGGACTAATGTGGGCACATAAAACATATTCAAGGAGAAAGGGAAGTTTTGACAAAGTCATTTCAGGGCACAAGCGTGCAGATGACAAGCATGTTTGTTGTTTTTTTTTTTCATTTAGAGCTGAACGAAACGGTCATTTGCACCAACGACCACATGGAAGTGGTTATTCCCAGCGCTTTCTTCCTGCACAAAGTCCCCCCAGTTTACGTAAGCCGTCGCACGCGCCCCCCTTTTATTTCCACGTAATTTTTATTTTTTTTTAATCATACTGTACGTGTGCCCAGGTCTGGGATTTGCATCTAAATGACCCCGACTGTCGAGGCGTGGAAGTGGGAGACGACTACGTCTTCAGCATTAAGAGCAACCTGTCCCACTGCGGAAGCATCATGGTAATACTGGATGTCGATCAATTGTTTCAAACTCGGGGTGCAGGTGTTTGTTAATTTTATTTATTTATTTGTTTGCTGCATTTGGATTTCAAGCTTAGTATTTGGGGTACAGTTAAAGGTTTGGGTTTTAAAATTGGGGTATCGAGTCTGGTTTCATGTTTAAAGTGAGTGTAAGGGTTCTTTTTGAACGTCCATAGTTTAAATCCTCGTGTTACGTCTTCAATCCAGGTTGAAGGATTTAACTTTAGTGTTTAAAACTAGTGTTAGGGTTTGAATTTAGGGTTTCATGTAAACAGACCCTCCAACGGGACGCTTGACGTTTAACCTCGTACCCCGAGATAAAGACAAAGTGCGCTTTATGTCTTCATTATTGACAAATAAAATTCCCGCCGCTTGTCAGTGGTCCGTTTTTACGACGCTGTTAAAGCAACAGGCTGTCGCTTTCCCCCCTACTTCAGAGCTTGAAAAAATTGAATAATTTACAAGCGCTGACGTAAATTCTGACCCGGGAGTCTGGAAGTCAGACAGCAAGAAGAGGCCCAGACAGAAAGTCAAGAAGAATGCTTGTGAGAAAGTGGCAGAGCTGATGTTTATGTCGGGCGGTGCCTCAATTGCCCCTGAAACAACTCTGAGGCCCCCTGGTTGGCCCCCCCGTGCTTGCAAATGATCGTGATTTACGTGGAAATTGAGGAACGTTTGCGCGCTACCCCCATCTTAGTCTCTTGCTTCCTTCAAATACAAACACGTTTAGATTTATACCGGACGACTTGGAGCACCAAAACACTCGTGGAGATGTTTGAAAAGGAAGAAATAGAATACAAGAAGAGCTCAGGTACCCATTAGCGCAATTGTTCAATAGCTTGGCTTCTTCATACAGTGGAACCGCGATTCGAGTTAATTTTTTTTAGATGCTCTCATTACTCCGTACAGGGATCCTGCCGTAAGACATAACAGTGTTTTCAGCGAAAAAAAAAACAAACAAAAAACAAACTAAATAAATACATTTTCAGGAACAGTGGCAACGTAAAATGGCTGCCTTCTGACTCCAGCGACGAGAGGCCAATTGTGAATACATTTATATGTTTGTGGCGTTTCCGGGTTGTCCCGCTCTTGTCATAGATAAACAGTCGTACATTAGACCACACCAAGCTAAAAAAATGCCTCACTGTGGCGGCCATGTTGGTAGTGTCGATATTCCCATCAAAGGGAATGGAAAGCATGGACATTAGCTTAGCATCGCCATAAGCAACCAGCTCAAAGGAGCGTGTTATTTTTGCCTATTCATATCTATTGTTTTTTTAAATCAGGAGCTAGTTGTGTACATGTCTCTTGAACATAGTTTTGGTACAGTGCACAGTTTTTTTCTGTTCTTTTTCTGAGGCATTCAATTGTAACGGAGGTTGAGGGTTAGGGTTTCAAATGAGACTTTTAGCCAGAGTAAGGGTCTCAAACTAGAATGGACTAGATTATGTGACGTTAGGGTTTCACATCGGGATTTCAAACCACGATGTTTCAAACCATGGTTGTAAAATAGAGTTCGTGTTTCAAGCAATGGTTAGTGCTTCAAATTAGAGTTGCGGCTCCAACTTAGAGCTTCAAAAGAGCGTTAGGGTTGGGTTTCAAAGCAGTGTAAGGGCTTTATTTTAGTTTTACAAATTAAGGTTTCAAACTTGGTCTTGGATTTCAACCCTAGGTTAGGTCTTGAAAGTAGTGCTTAGATGCTTTGGTTAGAGTTTCCAGTTGGGTTCAGGTTTTAAATTAAGGTCTCAAGGAAGTGTCGTGGTTTCAAATTTGGGTTAGGATTTTAACTCTGGGTTAGAGTTACGAATTAGTGATTAAATCTGTAATGAGGTTTTATATTTGGGTTTCAAGCTGGTCGTGGAGCTGTACATTGATGACATGTACACTGTACGTTCATCGTTGTGTTGCCTTGTTCAGACGTCGGACGCCACTCACATCCTCTTCGTCAACACCATACACAACAACCACACCGACGTCATCACCAGGAATTACATCAACATCACCTTTGTGTGCCGCTACCCCATCAACTACATGGTGCAGCAGCCCAACGGGGAAAACATGATTCGCGTGGATGTCAGGTCAGCCTCTGTCTTCTTCTTCTTCTTCATCACGTCACACGTACTTCCGGGCGGCAAAAGCTCACCCCTGCGCCAGTATCGCCCCCTTGTGGCCAAAACACGTACTCGCGGAGCCGTTGTGAAAATGGGGAAATTTACACTGGCTCAAAAAAAAAGCTCATTGTGAATCTCCTCGTTTTTTCCATGGTTTCACTGCATGTATGTTTTCTTCCACCCGGAAGTACCTTTTCTTCGTTAGTTAAAATGTCTCTCGGCATCCCGGTGGTCCTCCATGGTTGACCGTGATCTCTCCACACACACACACACACACACACACACACATACACACACACACACACACACACGCAGGACCATCACGCTCAACACGGAGGACGGAAACTTCTCCGTGTCCATGCTGCTGTACAAGGACGAGGCCTTTGAGGACAAGTGGACCACCGTCCCCTCGCTCACCCTGGACGATGACATCTTCGTCAAAGTGTTCATGGTGAGACCGCTGACGCGCCACCGGCCGCGCTAGTAGTCGAAGAGCGCGCGTTAAAATGCGCGGCTCGCCAAACGGAGAATAATGTCGGCGTCTAGGTTTGAAAAGTTTGTCAAGTGCCGATCCAATTGATATTTTCCTCTCTAAAAATTCATGCAAAGTCCACACTGGAAGGCCGTGCCCAAGAATTTAACCCCGTACCTCTGTACTGTGAGGCGGAGGTGCTAACCAGAGGTCCACCGTGCCGCCCACATTTAATATTAAAAATCTGAAATCAGTTGGAAAAATAATTGCATGCAAATAATTTCCTCATTTTTTTTAAAACTTTTGTTTCATTTTCATTGAGAACTGAACTATTTTCACATTTTTATCCCAAATAATTAATCTTTTTTTTTTTAATTCTCTAGTCTTCATTCAGAAATCGTTAAAAAAGGCAAATTTCATTTCCTCACAATGTAAAATATTTTCTTTGGTTTCACTCCTGTTCAGAAACCCTGAAATATTTTCAGCCTTTTCATTTTGCTGAACAAATCTATATATTTTTGCTTGCTTTTTCTTGCACTGCCTGTGCCATCCTCCCAGATTCCAGCTCACCTGATGTTACGCATGGAGAGATGCTGGGCCACGCCCACCAAGGATCCTTACAGCCACATTCAGTACACCTTCATTCGGGACAGGTGGGCGCCACATTTTCTCAAGGATTACAAGGGAACAGAATCTCAGCTTTTTCAATACATTCTGCAAATCGCATACGTGTACCTATACGGTGCTACGTGCTTGTCAAAATAATCCGGGTCCATGTCCAAATGCGTTTGAGACTATTCACGTCCGGTAAAACTTGCCTTGGCTAAAATGAGAATCCCACAAAAGTGACGTCAAAAAAATAAAATCAAAAATCTCTTAAATATGGCCACTTTTTCAATCCCATAGCAGTTACAAAATGGAGACTACCCCAAAACCCGTAACAGAAAATGCAAGACTCCACAATGCTCTCAGGCTCCAAATGTGAAACGAGAGAGTTTGTTTCTCCGCTCAGCCAGACCCGAGCCAACGGTTGATCACTCGATGGCGGAACAGAAAGGCCAGGTGTTACATTTTGAGCCGCTGCGGACGTCCTTGACAACCAGGCAACATTTGGCGCCGTTGGCGACGGCTCAGCAACGCATCGCGGCAGTGAAAGAGAACACACACGAGTGTCTTGAACGTCGCAATCCATCTGGACGGTCCCATTTGTTTGCTTTTGTTTTCTGGTTTCCCCCCCCACCGCCATCAGCTGCCCCGTGTTGACAAACCAAGAAACCCTGAGCGTGCTGAAGAACGGCCGCGGCGCTGACGCCATGTTCAGGATACAAATGTTCAAATTTGTGGGCGGCTCCTATGCCAACGTCTTCCTGCACTGCAACGTCCACATCTGCCACAACAGCCCCGGCCTGTGCCAGCCTGTGAGTGTGTGCACTCGCTATTTACCGTCCACCGCCTCAGGAAGTCAAAGACTCTCTCTCTCTCTCTCTCTCTCTCTGTGTGTGTGGAATATTTTATATTTTCCCCACTGAAACCGCCAGAACTGCTCGACTGAAGATGTCCTGTTGAGGACGCGGCGCGACATTCCGCTGTCCCACACGGTGTCCTACGGTCCCATCAGACGACGACCCAACGACAGCGAGAATCCCCGTTTCGGTACGTCCCTTGAGCAGCTTCATTCGGGTGCGATGTACTCTACGAGCGGCAAAGTTTTGAGGGGGGTGGGGGGGTGTTACCCATCGGGAAAGAGCAGGAGGAGAGCTCCCCAAAATTCTGACATAAATGTTTTATGAAGCATAAAAATGCATCAAAATATGTAACAAATACATGTTACCATTAGATTATTGCACGATAAATGAGAGTTGTGCGTAATGTAAAAAACAAAGAATAAAAATGATGGTCATTTAACTTTTAACTGCATCCTCTTGAGTTCATGTTCTCTCTCAGAAGTGGTTTTTGCCTGGCGTTTTGTAAAGAACCCATCCAAGGACGTTTGCTTTTGTCGGCTTTTAACACTCCTTCAAAAGTGTCCAAGGCAAACCATCAGCATCGTGAGCGATCGCCGGACTGGTGAAAACTTTTTCTGGGTGATTCGCATTTACAAAACCATCGGAACACCTCCCTGGCGAATAAACGAGGACGCTGAATCGACACCTCGCTATCTATCGTCACAGATAAATTCGTACGGTAGAGGTACATCTTAGCCAATGGGAAGCCAGGATGATGCTGGGGAATAGCCAATGGCAGAGCAGCTCTAAATATGTTGCGTTCAGGAAACTCGGAGCTGTGAGTGGCAGCCCAAACTGTATTTTTACATTTCCTATCTTGAAATTTCTTTTGTAACAAGAGGCGATATTTTCCTGTTGAGGCGTTTCGTAACTTGAACATTTCGTATGAAGAGACGTTCGTAAGCAGAGGTACCACTGTGTTTTGGTTTTTTTTCCCTGTGCAGGTGGACTCCCACCGGTGGAGACCTTCATCCTGGGGGGGTTCCTGGTGGTCCTGTTGCTGGTCGCGGGGGTCTTAGGGAGACTGTGGATTCGTTCCAGGCGCTTCTACCCAGCGGCGCGAGAGGCTCAGCTCACCCTGTCCAATGTCCACCACATCTCCGAAGTGGCCTCATGAGTCGACGGGATCCAAAATCGTTCCACTCGGTGACCACTTTTGGATTCAAGATTTGTCATGAAATTGTCTGTGATTCAGACTCAAGCGAAGGACTGGAATACCTCATCGTAGAACCTTCTATCTGTTTTCCCTGTATTATGTGTGTTTTATTGGCAGAGTAGAAATGACATTGACAGTTTTTCCTCAGTCGCTCTGGTCCATTTCTCGGCTCGGAATCGAAATTTGCAAAAGTGTACGTGCATTCCTCGAAACAATTTGTACAAATAGCACGAGACCGAGCAAGAGTCATACTTTGTCGCTGGCATCGCAGCCGAAACATTCCACGTGAAAATTTGGCAAAGATTGCCCCAAATGTTGCATGCTAACATTTTCTCATTTCTCACTCTTTTTAAGACCCAACAGAAGGCACGATAAAGTTTTGCCATGCGACTCGTCAAGAAATGTTCTTTTACCTTTTAAACAAACAAAAAAAGATTTTGTTTTAATTCATCAAATGTCATCGTCTTGGCCTTGGAGGCGTCTTGGGACAACTTTGAAAATAACACAAGGAAGCTGAAGGTGTAAATTGATGTCAGACGAGACAAGAGGAGGGCAGATGTCCGCCGCTTTTTTATCAACAGAACCCTGTTGGACACAAAAACACACGCAAAAAAAAAAAAAATCTCATCTCATTCACATTCTTTTTTTAAATTGCAAACCGATACGTTCCCTCTCCCAACCGGGGTTGACATTACATCAAACGAGACGACAGCTTTCCGGGCTGACCTTCACACTCGAACGCTTGCAAGGCGCTGGTATAGGAGGGGCCCAGCCAGGAGGTGAAGCCCCCGAGGACCCTCAGCAGGCAACGGGTGGAGTCGCTGAACATCACGTCGGAGTCGGAGTAGCCGGAAGAGCTGAACATGCTGAAGCCGTCCGTAGCGTTTGCAAACACGTTCTAGCGAAGCGAAGGAGAGCAAGAACAGCAAATGGATGGCAGGGACAGACTGTGTGATGAACAATGAATGAAATGGA